GGAAGGACTTTAAAATATTTAGAGTCCTTAATAAATTTTTAAAGAGCATTTTTTTTGCAGCACACAGAAGAACTGGACTTCCTTTGATCTGATGGCCATTTCTGCATCTTCTATGTCTCTAGTAAGGCATGAAAATACAGAGGACATGGATTGCAGAGGTATCTGCAAGTTCCCATCCCATAAGAAGTCAAAAAGGTAAAGGAGAACCTAAGCACATGGTTTAAACACTTTGCATGGAGCGGAGTGAAGGTTCATAGAGCAGGGGGGGAGTAGCTCAGTAAATACATTTGGATGGGTCAGAGTAACTGTTGCATGGACAGTTTTTTCTTTCCCCAGTTTCAGCCAAGTCTTACCGTGTACCAGCAACACATTGGGTGTCTTGGTGATGGCTCTTCCAGCCATAGAGGTCTCTTGAGGTGAAGAAGCCTGCACAGCCAGTACTACACGTTCAGCATAGTGCCAGTCCTGCATAGTACCATATTTTATTTAATGCCAAGATCATATAGTCAGGCTTTGCTCAAAGCAAGACATTTAGTTCTCTCCAAGGGGAGAACGCAGTCATAGCTCATGTCAGTCTCATGCACAGAGCACATAACCAGACGTGGTATCTAACAGAGCCAGGTTTCATGCACTTTGGCATGGTAACCTTGCAGTGCTTTAAAAGCATCTTCCAAAAAATGAATCGTCTTTCTAATGTGGGAATAGAGCAAAGGCCAGCTGGAAATGAAACCTAGGAATGAGTGTGTCTTTTTGTGTATGAATTCACAACATTTTAGCCGTTTCATTTTGCACAAATGACATGCAGGTTTTGTGAGGGTTTATTTTCAAAGGCCTTAATGTGTTCTGTTACAGAGGGTGACCACAGTTTCCATATGTATGTGATACACTTTACACTACCATATTTCTTAGTGGCCTTAATGGACTGGGTCTAAAGAAGCAGCAATTGCAATCTCAAAACATTAAACGGAAATGAACGAAACAGAAAAGAGTGGTCAGCCAATCTTCATGTATTTGATAAATACAGAGCTTGCTTACACCTCCAAATCATTTCCACTTTAGGCCACAAATTCAGATGATCTTGGTACCTGAGCTTAATGTGGCCAAGCTTAACGAGCTAACTCCTATTTTGGAAGTGCTCCAAACTGTAGAGATACTCTTCTTTAAGTAAAGATACTACTTTAAGTTAAAGGTATAATTCATCTCCCTAGAACTAGAATTAATCAGACATGTCTAAATTTTCTTATGTAATGAGTAAAAATTGGTTCAGTTGAGATGAAGCATGTCTGGATGTTACTCCAGAATCTTGGATACTGTAAGAGAATAAAATAATCATCTGTGTCAGCCCAGGGAAAAACACCTGCTTCAAAAACAAAGAGGGAAAAAAAGATCTTTCTATCTTTGGAAGATATAAAGCTAACTATAGCATGAGGAGTCATAGGAAAGTAGTGGATGATTTCTTCCCAAGTATAAAATTAGTATTATTGCTCATAATTTTTGGAAAACCATTTATAATGTCAGATTTATTAAAATGCTGTTCTACTGTAGAGAGGACATGGCAACAACTTCATTGATCAAAACCAGGAGATGACAGAAAAAAATTGGTAAACAGACAAAATCCTTTTTAGATCCTGTTCACAGTAAAACTTGGAATAGAAATCAGAACTTAGAGATATTAAATCTCCCAAAGATGTCTACCATATAATTCATTCAGGACCCTATTTCTCTTGCAAGAAGCAGATCTAAAATTATTCAAGGAAAGCAATTCTTTGACCCCTCAAGACTTCTAGCTAGTCTTGAAGAGAAAGCAATCTCCCAAAAGAGCAAGTTGTAGAATGCTAAGTAAAGGAAGAAGCAAACTTCAAGTATAGTTTGAACTGAGAAATAAAAGCATAAATGGAGCATATGATGAACTCTCCTGCAAATTAAATAAACAACTAGCAGGACTTGAAATTAAATTCAGTTTTTAGCTGCAGAGAAAGCAAGGCCCATCCAGCCCTGCCAATGCTCAATGACTAAGGAGTACACTGCTGTTCTTTGGTACCCACCCAGAATACTGCAATGATGTATATTTATTAAACATGTTGGTTCTTAGCTCTCATTATGAATTATTCATGTTTTGTTAATAGTCGATTCCCTAGAATATCCATGCAGAGCATGCATGATGATCACTGAATCATTTTCATTGAATTTACCAGACTTTCCTTCATGACTATCAGAATGAGGCTTTAATGACACTTTATGATGAACTTTACTAGTTCTTCCTCCCCACTTTAAAATACAGAGAGCTGATTTTTGAGTATGTTGGGGAAAACAGTAATCCAAAAGATAACTGAACAACACACTGATCTGATCAGGAATGGGCTAGAGAACACAACTGAAAAGATGTATCACAGAAAAGCTAGCCCAAAACGAAAGAAAAATCCCACTAAGAGACTTCACATTGCTTCCAATACCTCTGGTACTGTTTTCAAACACCATCTTACTCTTTTTAAAGCAGGTTATAATTCAATTACCATATTCTATTGCAATTTTCTGCACCTCTAAAGAGACTACCTCCTTTGCACTAGCAATTTTACTATTACAACAATAATAAGGAATTTCAAATATTCCATTTTACAGAGTGCTTATACTACTATTTCCCAGTATGTATTCTGGATTATTCTTGGACTTGAGAGCTTTTCATGATATTCAGAACTGAAGTAGCAAATCCATTAAAAAGACGATAGGTCTTATTTTGAGTCCTGATTCTGCAAACTATTCTGCATTTATAAAGCTTTAATCCTCAGGCTGTTTTAACCTTTGTATGAGAAAAGTCTAATTTAGTTGGCAAATTGTAAAAAGAAGTGAAATTAATTTGCTGCTCACCAGTTTCTCATCAGCATTCTAAAAGCCCCAGTGAAATTAATATATTAAACATGGGAGTAGAAGAGGATATTGCAAATATAAACATCACAGATTAAGACAAGATGTACAGTGATGCTGTAAAACTCAAAATATTGATCGAAATGTGTTAAAAGAAGAAGCCTCCCCTGTATCAAGCAGCATAATAAAGCTGTGGAACTATCTGCTATATAATCACTCTGAAAATAAGCTGGAGTAACTCACTAGAATGCAAAGATCATTTCAAAGCATTACACAAAATGAAGAAAATAAAACACCTATGGTATGAAATGCTTCCAACTCCAAATATTAAAGCTGTATTTAGTTGTAGTTTAGCGAATGAGATTTTCCCCTTTCATGCATACTCTTAGAACAATAGAGATGGTCATAAAATCCTTCAGAATGGCAAATGAGACACATTTCAAATAACCTGCCCCTACTTCTATTTAACCTACAGATATTTCTGAAGTAGAGAAGGAAAGAGCAGAGAGTAAGAATGGCCAAACAAAGGCACACCAACAGTTACTCAAAATCCGGCTACAGATAGCAACTCAAAGGCAAAGTGACTGGAGCTTCTGGCTGGCCTAGAACATCAGCAGAATGAAAGCAGTACAAGAAGTTGCAGGAGGAGCTTTTAAAGATGACTTCCAGCTTAAATGAGGTGAATGAGCTAAAATGAGCAAGAGTCAAATAAAGAAAATGCTACATGCTGACACAAAAGCAGAGAGATTTGAATCAGAGATAGCCCTGATTTAGGCTAGAATTTATAAAGGAAGGTTTGAAAGAATCTCCTAGAAGGTGGAGGGGAGGAAAATGTGACGAATTTTATACAAAGAGTGATCATTTTATCTGCAAGATTATAAAATATGGCTGGTTTGATAACAAGAGACAATAACAAGTCAGGCTATTCCTTTCATTTTATGCTTTATGCAGTACAAAGAGCACCCATTTGTCTCTAATATTTGGTAACACTTCTTGCCCACACATTCATTGAAGTAACTGACTATTACTGGGATGTGTTTAAAAAATCAAGTTGGTGGAATACCGTGGAGAGGTTGACTTCACTTAAGAGTTACAAGTGGTTTAGGGAGTACAGCTTTTGTGCAGATGATTGATTCTCTGGTACCCAAGTACTCCTTTTTGCCTTCTTCCATATTATCCTTATGACTGGAATAATATTCGCTCTGAAACTTGGTGGTAAGAGCTTTTTATCTGCATAACAGTAGATAGCAGGGTTAGCAAAGTTTTTAAAATGCCCCTTCCACACAGGAATCAAAACCCTTTCCATAGTATATGTTATTTACTCCTTTTATTTACTCCTTGCTCTTTCAGATGTCAAGATTTTTTCTGCTTTATCAATGTCATACTTCTTTCCCCACTCAAACTCCTCATTAATCATATCTTACTGAGAGCATTCTCTTTTTTTTCCCCTCACTTCCACCATTCCCCAAAGTACCTCTTTTCCCACCTCTTTCCTAACTCCTTACAACACAAACTATATTTTTCCCTTCCTGAAAACCAAGTTTGGTGGTGCCTTTTTATTCTTTTCTCCAAATAACTTCCTTCTGTTTGCTCTTGCCTCTCACGAGTGCTGTGTGAAGTTTGTACCTCTTTCTTTCCCTCAACATGTATTTAGCTCTCTCAACTATGCAATAAACTTTCCCCCCTCGAAGTACTACATTTTACCATTACACTCTTCCATCCCTTACTGCTTCCATGCCCACATTATTCCTGTCTGTCAAATTGCACTGAATTTGTCCCATTTTACATTTCTTCCCTAATTCCGCAATCTAGCCTCTCACTAGTCGCAGACTGTACCAGCAGTTGTTGCTTATTTACTGGGTAAATACTTAACACACTAAGGATACTGTCATGACTAAATAGCACAATCCCCTCACGTATCAGATAAGCACAGATCACAGGTATCTCAAAAAAAAATCAGTTTTAAAGAATTTTGCAATTCATTTAGAAAGGATTCTAAAATTCATTAACTCGAATGAGAAGTGTGCTTGAAAAGGCAGATTAGTTGATTCAGATGGCAGTTCTATCAGAATAAAATAAAATGCATCTTCATCTGTACCAAACCCAACCATTACTGAAAGAAAAAGTTACATCTAGTTCATTTTAAAGAATTTAATAGTTGTATTTCCCACAATGCTACATACAAGAAACTGTTTTAAATAACATTAATATAAACTAAGAAAAGTCAGAGAACCTTAAGTTAGAAAGATTCCATCTTTTCCCTCACATAATAAAAGACATAATACATATGATTTCTTCAACATCTATATTATTATAACTGTAAAAAATGTTTAAATAAAAGTGTTTAAAGGAGGGAGCTAAAAGTCAGGCATTTAAATCCATGTGTAGGCACTGAATAGCTGGTTTAATTTTCAGAATTGCAAACACTTTCAACTTCCACAGAGTTTAAATTGACGGACACCTATAGAAGTCCTATTAACACTTACTCACAGAATTTAATTCATCTGAGTAGGTCCATCAAATTAAAAGGGAGGACTTATATGCATAAATCACAACTAATGTTTACAGGATTACAGCATATGCTGATATATGCATTTAGTTTTCTAATTTAAGTCTCAAAATTCAAACGTTTCAATCACAACATTTAAAATACAAGTTGTTTATTTAATTATGCATTTAGGATGTATGTTATAGTCTTTAAAAACGTATCCCATGAGGAACTCCCACTAGATTTTCCAACAGAGCAATTCGTACTTTTTTGCAAAGCAGCAACCAGAGTCCTCATGATCAATGTATTATTATTCAAAATATTGAGGTATACAAATAAGAGAAATCATTCAGAAGCAGTCATTTTCCTTATTGACCATATTGCTTCCACTGTTTGAAAGCAGAAATCCTGTTAACAGAGATTTCTGCTTAGAAATGGATGACAAAGATAGGTCTGGAATTTTAGAAGTTTATTTAATTTCCTAAGTGCCTAAAAAAGGAACATAATATTTTATATCCCAAGTTTTAATTAGGGATCAGTATTTACATTTGTATCAACACCTCTAAATACTTCATTAAAATCAAGATAATGGCCATCACAACACCATTAATATCAGTTAGTTAAACATCTTTTCAGTTGCTAAATGAAAATACACTTTCTAACACAAGGAGTTTTAATCATTCACTCATTATTATGAGGTCAGTGTCACTTTATTTGTCTTTACTATGCTCTTGTTCTAATAAATCGTAACAGCAAAATAATTAGATTGCTCTTTCTAGCACAAGGAAAAAGGATTCAGTCCTGCAGATGCTTTTCAAGTGTCTAATTTTATAAATATTGATGGTCATATTAGTATACACAAAATAAAGCTTGTGACAAAATGTTTAGACTATCAGGGTTCAAATCAGAACAGTTATCAATATCAAATCTGCAATGGTCAGAGAGCTACGGCCCTGAAATTGCAAAGAACGTATCATCAACTGATCGGGTAAAGTCTATGAAACTCAATTAATCTGGGTTCTACCAACCATTTCACTGGTAAAATGAAAATATATGTACCCACTTTGTTCCCGGAAGGCAAAGACAAGGCAAACCACTGACTGGGTCTTGCTCTCTTCTTCATTACCACTGAATGAGCAATTAGAGATTGTTCTGGTTCACAAAACAGCTGAGGGACTGTCCTTTTAAAAGACCAGATCTTTTGAAAATTTAAAACTTTACAAAGGATTGATTTGCCCCTCATTGTCTCTAGTCAGCTGTCTTCAATTAGCAGCAATCTACCTTGGTTTCTGAGTAAAGGTCTCAAGTACCCTGCTAGTTCCATCCTATTTTTTAAAAAGCATACCAAACTAAATCATTAAGGCTGCTTTATATCTGTGTCAACTTGATTTATGTATACCAAATGGAACAATCACTTTGAGGACTTTCAAGCAGAATGAGCGGTCTTGTCAATATTCCAGGAAAAGTCACAGTACCCACTGGAATAATTAGTCTCCGACATCACCATCTCTGTCACCTATGAGCCACAGAAAATGAAAACCTACAGCTAATAAGGCAGTTCCAAGCAGATCTCCCAGTGCAGTAAGATAAGGGATAGAAAAACTATCAGGATCTTTTCCTTTTTTCCAGAAGTGGTGCACCATCCAGTCAGCAATCCATAACAGAGTAAACACCTACGCAACAACAAACAAACAAAATCTGTATTATTATCACATAAATTACATTGACAGGAAATCAACAGCTAACATTATTGTCTCCTTAGTCTACAATACTATTGTATACAACTACATTTGAAAAATATAAATAATTAATATGAATGAGTTTCAGACTAAAAGTCCCTACATGTAGAGGCACAGTTACCCAACTTCTCCCAGTCAATCGCATGCACAGATAGAAGGAACATACTGAATCATTGTCTGTACTTGAGGACTTCTGAACATGGCAAGAAAAAGAAAAAACTCTAACCAAATATGCAACTGCATTTCCCACACATGACATTTTGTACAGTGAAAGTATAAGTGGGGCTGCAAGATCATTCAGAACTGACAGACACTGCCCCAGATGAAAACACTTGACTCAGGTGTAACTCGTTTCCACAGGTCTAGAACCAATCTGATATCTTGGGGGTGTTGGTTGATGAGAAAATGAACATGAGCCGGCAGTGTGCACTCGCAGCTCAGAAAGCCAACTGTATCCTGGGCTGCATCAAAAGGAGCGTGACCAGCAGGTCGAAGGAGGTGATCCTGCCCCTCTACTCTGCTCTCGTGAGACCTCACCTGGAGTATTGTGTGCAGTTCTGGTGTCCTCAACATAAAAAGGACATGGAACTGTTGGAACAAGTCCAGAGGAGGGCCATGAGGATGATCAGGGGACTGGAGCACCTCCCGTATGAAGACAGGCTGAGAAAGTTGGGGCTGTTCAGCCTGGAGAAGCAAAGGCTGCGTGGAGACCTCATAGCAGCCTTCCAGTATCTGAAGGGGGCCTATAGGGATGCTGGAGAGGGACTCTTCATTAGGGACTGTAGTGACAGGAAAAGGGGTAATGGGTTAAAACTTAAACAGGGGAAGTTTAGATTGGATATAAGGAGGAAATTCTTTCCTGTTAGGGTGGTGAGGCATTGGAATGGGTTGCCCAGGCAGGTTGTGAATGCTCCATCCTTGGCAGTGTTCAAGACCAGGTTGGACGAAGCCTTGGGTGAGATGGTTTAGTGTGAGGTGTCCCTGCCCATGGCAGGGGGGTTGGAACTTGATGATCTTAAGGTCCTTTCCAACCCTAACTATTCTATGATTCTATGATATAAAGAATACCAGGTCAGAGTAAGAACAGTTTTATCTGCATTGTATGATCTGCAAAAAATAGCCTAGAAGCTACTTTTATGCTTGAAATAGCAGCTTCAAGCCTTCTGTAATAAGGCACACCTGCAATATATATTATGAAATTGTCACTCCAGGCTGAATTGGTCCCAGAATAAAAGATTTCATTCCCAACTGTGAAAGTCTGAACATTTGAGAGGTTTGATCTTAATACTAAAAGTATGCATAATCATTAATCCAATTTTAGGAAAGAATCCCTTTAATGTTGCACAGCTGTATGATAAGAGATTCTGATTTGGATGAATCATGTGGTGCAGCATGGCACAAGATGAATGGAGAAAGGACCACTAACAGAGCTTCTATTTCTTCTTGTCTCATCTAAGGAGCTGATTAAGATGAAATAAATAGTGCATTTTATGTCTTTTTAGTTATTCAGATCTTTAGGAAGTGTAAACCTAAGACAGTTCTCACCATAATTCTTCTTTTAAAAGTCTACTATGTACATTTAAAATAATATACAGTATCAAAAGTAGTAAAAGGCACAAAATTCATATTTTATTTAGTAAATGATCAATTACTGGTATAAAAAGCATCTGTATGCACTTATTTATTGAAATACTGATAAGGTGGTTGCAAGACACTTCTCCACAATACAAAATACAGTAAAATGAATGTCATATAATAAATTGCGCTGAAAAGTTTCTCAATTAATACTTGCTTTGCAAAAGTATATGTTAAAATACAAGCCTGAATTTCTAATTAAATAAGGAAAAAAAAGGGAGTATTTGCTTAATGAAAAATGCATGGCTTATTTATATAAACATATCATCTGAAAAGGGAACTCTGTAGTCTAAGCTAATTATGCGAGTCCTAGGTGTGCTGACTGGAATCCAAACAAATATATTTAAAACAGATGTTTTCTTTGGAAGACTATCAGGTTCTTTGAGTCTGCTCCTTCTAAGAGACAAAAAGAGGCCTGTTTATAAAAGACCCCATCCATTAACATCTCCTACAGTATGCGCACAGAAGACTCTGTAGCACCCCACATCAACAATAGTTCTGCATGTTCTATTACAAGATGAAAGCATTTGTAACAAGAATAATTTATAATGAATTATGTAACACAACCCATTAGATGTAACACACACGGTCCCATTGAAATGACAGTATGTACTTCTGGCTCTTAAAAATCATGACACAAAAAACCCCCTTCATTTCTTCCTGTATTTTCCAGCTTGAAATAACTGCCTTAGACTACTGTGAAAAATTGGTAGTTTGGCCAGTAAGTTTTGTGAACCTTCCCAAATAATTATTTTTACTATATTAACTTATGGGTGCATAACAAATAATGCAAATTATAACAAACCTGGCTTCTGTAAGTAATTGGAAAAAAGTTATAGCATATTATATTAGCTGCTGCTTATACCAGTATATGCTGGCAGCTGGGACATAGTGCTTCCAGAGTAAATTATAAGACTGTAGTTCACCAGCCTTTATTTTTGGTGAAGGAATAATCATTACGCATTTGCATGGCTAGAAAGTCACTAACATTTAAGAATTACACAGATCAGTCTTTGGAAATGGTTCCTTATTGGCCACAGTAGTTTGTATTAGAAGCCAGAAGAAGTCAACCAATGGGACTTAAATCCTTAATAAGATTTCTTTCTTATAGAATCATAGAATCAAAGAATGGTTAGGGTTAGAAATATATCACCCAAGGCCTCATCCAACCTGGTCTTGAATACTGCCAAGGATGGAGCATTTACAACCTCCCTTGGCAACCTATTGCAGTGCCTCACCACCCTAACAGGAAAGAATTTCCTCCTTATATCCAATCTAAACTTCCCCTGTTTAAGTCTGAACCCCTTACCCCTTGTCCTATCACTACAGTCCCTAATGAAGAGTCCCTCCCCAGCATCCCTATAGGCCCCCTTCAGATGCTGGAAGGCTGCTATGAGGTCTCCACGCAGCCTTCTCTTCTCCACGCTGAACAGCCCCAACTTCCTCAGCCTGTCTTCATACTGGAGGTGCTCCAGTCCCTTGATCATCCTCGTGGCCCTCCTCTGGACTTGCTCCAACAGTTCCATGTCCTTTTTATGTTGAGGACACCAGAACTGCACACAATACTCCAGGTGAGGTCTCACAAGAGCAGAGTAGAGGGGCAGGATCACCTCCTTCGACCTGCTGGTCACGCTCCTTTTGATGCAGCCCAGGATATGGTAACCACAGGGCTGCTCTGAATCTCTTCTCTGCCCAACCTGTAGCTGTGCCTGGGATTGCTCCGACCCAGGTGTAGGACCTTGCACTTATCAATGTTAAGACAGGGCAAAAGCCCTAAGAGTTTGCTGAAAGTAAGTCCTTGTATTTAAAGTGATGCGAGAAGTCGCTCACAAAGATCAAAGAAAAAACATAGAAAAGACATTACAAGACTTGTTACTTTAGTGGCACAACAGAACTACACTCCTATAATTTCAACAAAATGATGCAGATGGCATAGCAGTACAAATACTGTATACTTCTGCTCTGCGTTCATGCTTTGAAGAAGAAAGCCTTCCTATTTCTAATTGAAAACCAGCTGGTTTTCAGGGAAAAAAATAAAGAGACTATCATCACAGAAAAGCCTAATAAGATAAACAATTTTTGTAGTAACATGAAATGCTGTAGAAAAGTGATAAGAAATGCTTGTAAATATATGCAGTTCAAGATGTGAGCTAGTATTTTAAAATTATTTAATATTCAGAGGAAGAGAATAATTCAATGTTTCCTGAAGAAAGGGAGATGAATAGTAGTAGAATTATGAAACAGAGCACTAGGAATTTTTCCAGACCGAAGAATGAAATAACTGCAAGGTTTAAGAAAGGTAAAAAATAACTAAATATCTATATAGAAAAAAAGATCAAAGCAAAGTGAGACACTTTATAGTCACTGATCAAGAAAAAAATATCCTAGAGCATGGACTGCAAAAATACAGAAAAATTCCAGAAGTTTTGATATTTCAGAAGGAAGATCATGTTACATTATTACTTCTGGGAAAAAAACTGCAATAGAAATTGAGGAATATGAAACTAAAGACATCATCAGGTTTAGACTGCATTTCTAAAATGACCTATCAGTCACATTGTCAAAAAAGGTCCTGAGAAGACAGAAGCAGCAGAATCTAGCAATAAGAATGAGAGGGAGGGAGGGAGGAAGGGAGGGAAGAAAAGACCAGGAGTGAAGTCTTTACAAAATCCTAATTATGAAGAATCTGAAAATAAGGGGTATAACTACACATATAATTTTGTACAACAAAGGGCAGAAATAAAGAGAAACTTGATATTGAACTTTCTGATTCAAATTAGATTAGAACTGAATATAAATGCTTAAATAAGAGTGAGCCTCGCTATTTAAAGCACAAATCTTATAATTGCAAGACTAGAAATGGGAACAATATACACTATAAAGCAATTTTTTTCCTTTGTGATTGGGCACAAACTTTAATTCTTTGCAGGTCTTTAGATACGAACAAGTTTAGCTACAGAAAAGTTATTTTTGGTCTTCTGCATGTAGCAAGGACCGCTAAAAACTATCTGCATTTTCTCATGCAATTAAATTCTCATGACTTCTGAAATGGGAAAAGAATTAAATTCTACTATATAAAATAAAAATACGTAAATCCCTTGAAACATTCTTAATACTGTCTAGACTTCCCGCAGCTTAAATGATACTTTGCAGCATTCTATAATATTTGTATTGTTTCTTTTACCTGAGATGACCATATTTCAAGAGTGAATGCAGGTCAAACTCAGTGATAAGAAGTATAAGGTTGAAATGCATCATATTTGTAAATCAGATTTGAATTTTTTATATTTAGAATAGAA